AAAAGGTTCACAATAAATCCTCTGTCCACTGATTGAACAGTCTTTTAAATAGCCCAGTAGTGATGCAACTGAGTCATGGCTAAGTTTATAGCTTATCTTTTTTATATGTGCTCCCATAATGTTATATCTGAACTCTAAGATAAGTGATGGAAGTAGATTAAATGTTCTGCTGAAATCCCATCATGGTCCTTTAGAACGGCATGTCTATCCCCCTTCTATCTACTTTTGCCACTGTGCATATCTGATTTTATATTCAAATGTCAAAGCAGAGTTGTGGGAGATCAGATGACACCCTACCATGCTGACTGATTTGTGGTATGTGCGTTTGTACATGAAAGATATTGGTATTATCGAGGGAAAGACTGAAAACAAGGTTAAAACTCTCATAACCCTTTTACATAAATCTGTAGTGCAACCACATTTGGAATCCTGTGCTCCCCCTTTAAAAAGGGGGAAATAATACAGTATTGTAGATTTGGAATAGGCACAGAAAGGGGCAATCAAAATATTGAAGTCGTTAGAATACCTCCTTTCCGCTTCTGCTGTAGTTTGCAGTCCACAGAGGTGGTGGGCATATTAAGTCAATGAAATAACTCTCTAAGCAGGAATCAGCACCCTGGACAGTTCCCAGTGGGCCCTGCTGAACGGGCTATGAAAGATACTACTGTACCTCAATTTGCTTATGTATTACATTTACATACCGCCTTTGTGTCAAGACAATTTTAAAGTACTAAAACAAATGATGCAAAATGTAAAGTTGGTTTCGGTGGCGGGGATGAGAAGGCCTGATGTTTTCTTTGCCTCCCTCCATCACTCTGTTCTCTCTTCTCACAAGACAAGTGGTGTCCATTGGTCAATAGGGAGCTGAACTCAACTGAGGCTTTATAAAGGCAGTTGACAAGATATTTTGCACATCAAGCTCTACCACCTTGAAGAGGCCAGCTATGTTTCTTAGAGGGCCCTTCCCTATTTCTGTATCTTTTGTCTTCTTCGAGTTCTATGTCATGAAAGGGTTACTGGGGCTTGCCCTGTGAGCATGAGAGTGGTGACTTCCTGTTGTGATGTCACAGGAGCAACTTCTGAAGGTTCTCCACTGAGGAATGTTGCCTGAACCTAGTCTTTATCCAAGCCCCTTTCAGGGCACTGGGGGACTAGCAGATTCAGGGATCTTTGAGAATAGGTTAGAGTGTTTGTGTATTTTTAGAGTAGAAAAGAATCGTTTAGAAGAACACACAGAGAGATGTGTACAGCTAATGCATCAAGGGAGCACTTGGAGACACTCCCAACCCCAATATTTATGTACCTCCTGGTTCATCCCCCCTCTTGCCCACCCATATGTCTGATCTAATATTTGAAAAGTGAGGGCATTGTACGTAGGTCTGCAACACTGTCTGGAACCCTGTTTGTGTAGAGCCCTTCATAGCATTGGAATACTATATGAGAAGGCATTCCTTTCCAATGTCTAACCTCTTCCACTCCCATGAAAAAATGAAATGAAATACAATTGCTAGCTAAAGTGTGCTAGGAGCTTAGTGTTCAACACACCGTTGCAGCATGAGAATCTGGTGGTTCCAATGGAAAGATCAAGCCAGACTGTTTGTTACTATTTATTTGTGGTTTTATCTTGTATTTTTATCTTGTGAACTGCCCTGAGATCTTTTGATGAAGGGTGGTACATAAATCTAAAGAAGAACAACAACATCATCAACAACAAAACATGTAGCCCAAGACAACATAGCCAATGGACAGAGTTGAAGGGAGTTGGAATCCAACAACATTTGGAGAGCTGCAGGTTCCTCATATTTAACTTGGATCAGCAAGAAGAAACAGTAACAGAGTAGGGGGCTTCTGCCTCATTTATCAAGGCCTTATACTTCCATCAAAGCATCAAAATAAGAGGCCTGTTGTTTGAAGCTGCTCCCAAAATGGCCACTGGAACTCGCCAGGCATTTATATTGTCCCTAGAAGACTGCCAGTTAGGTACTGCTTTGTGAGAATAAAACAACAGAGTCATCGGTTCCACTTTGTGCTCTTAATAATTGAGATTTTAAAGCCTTGGTGGAATAGAAATGCATCTAAATAGTACATGCATTACTAATGTGAGGTAGTTAAAAAGGTGATGAATTGCTGCAGTGTTAAATCTGGAGACTATTGCCTGGAACTAAGGTTTATTATCTCAGAGGGTAGCTTGGCACTGCAAATTGGTGCAAGGTGAGCAATAGCTCTGTGGACCATTGAACACCACAAAGAAAAATAAAGCATGGTGCAATGTCCACATACAGTATATAAACCACTCAGATAGCACAAATAGACCATTTCCAGTGCATGGAATAAGTAGCTTTGGATAATGAAAGGCCAGATAATGGCTTTGATTAAGTTTATACATAGAAATGGAGTTGGCTTTCCAGGACATCACTCCACATCTTTTTGTAGGTCTAAGCAGTATCCACATTTTGCTGGTACCTAAAGGGACTTTTCCAAGAGATGATAAGAATGCCCTTTTGCCTCTGATATATGTTTGTGTGTGTGTGTGTGCGCGCGCACACACACACAGCTGCTTGATCAGGCAATGGTCCATAATATGATGTGCTGTAAACCTTCACTGGCAGTTTTTCCAAGTCTTTCCCATCTCCACTACTAGAGGGACTTTTAACGACTGCGCCAAGGAATTTGACTGGAGACTTCGCAAGACTTACATGTCAAGAACTAGTGTGATCCAATATGAGAAATTTAAAAACCCAACTGAAATCAATGCACCCTGAACATGGATTGGATTGCACATTCTTTGCCAATGAGTGATATCACCTCTGGATTATGTGTTTATTGCATTTTATTGTTACTTGTTGCTTAGCACCAGGTTTGAATTCAGGATCCAATCTTTAAAACAAAATCAAATATATAACTAATGTACTCATATGGCAATAGAGCTATTATGGCTATTACATCATGTAATAATGGAAACATACATGCATGTTTAATTTTAATGGTAGCTCTCAATTTATTTTAATAATACATAATTTAATTTCCTGTCTGTATGAAACAGAAGATTGTTAATGATCCAATGCTTCTTTTAATATCACACTTAATTGGTGTGTGCTGACAGGATAGTGACCAAAATGGGACCACTGTGAAAGAAGAGGGGAGGTATCACCACACTTGGGGGAACTCCAAGTTGTGCAAGAGTGGAAAATCTGCAGGAAGGGAAACCTAGTCGATTCCTCACTCCTTCCTCCCCCCACAAAAAAAAACCCTAAACCCAATGAGAATTGAGTAGACTCAGTTGCTACAGAATGTTAGTGTGTTGTGGATGGGGATGGATGAATCTGTCCATTTCAATTTCCTCCCATTTCTCATTTTTCCACTCTCCAAATTTCCACGTAGGGTTTTTTTAAAAAAGTCTTCATGAAAATTCATCAGCATTTTAGTTCAAAATTGTCCCAATATACACCAGCTTATATGCAACTTTACCTAACTTATACATTTGTGCAAAGCAAATTCCCCCTAATATAATGTATTTTAAATGTTCTTTTCATTAATATATGCATTTTAATGTACACTTTCCCCTGGTATGTGCATTTTGATTGCATGACTTGGCTGGAGAGCTGCCTGGCAATATCTGGAGGGGGTGGGAATTTTGAAGAATGGCTGCGTTTCCGTTTGTGTTTGTTTTGTAGCCAAAATGAGGCAAGTGGGAAACAATAGAGATGTGTCAACATGTTCAGGGAAACCCCGTGGTTGACTGAAGTAGAAAAGTCTTGGGGGGGGGGATAACATAGCAAGGCAACTCCACCCCTCCTAAAAAAACAACCTAGCCCAATGAGGACTGAGCATATTCAGTGGCTGCAACTATTATTATTATTTTATTATTATTATGATTACTGCTATTTCAATCACCTACCACGTATATGTCTCAAGGCAATGTACACAATATAATAAAAACAGCTAAAAGAGAGAGTTAAAAACAGCACAGAAAATAACAGTATGTGAATTTAAAAACAAAACAAGGAGACACCCATGGCAAGCAACTATTCCTCCAGCTGGTAAATGCTTGCTGGAACACAAATGCCTTCAATTGTTTCTGGAAAGCCCAGATAACGGGTGCCTGTCATAACTCTGCAGCAATACTGTTTCACAGAACAGGGGCAGCCATGCTAAAAGTCTGGCTCCAAAATACTGTTGTGGTTTATTTGGTGTGTGTGTGTGTGTGTGTGTGTGTGTGTGTGTGTGTGTAAACAGCAAAGTAGAAGTCAGAATAGAGTACTCTGGAAGTGGGTATGGCTGGCTGACTGGACTATTGAAACAGAATCACTCCAAGGAGGTCCACTTGATTTATCAGTTGCCAAGTTTGACCAGAAAACAACAGAATACCCAGGGTGCAGAGACACTCAGGAAAGGAAATAATTTGCCAAATGGAGGAAAAGCATAATTTCTAAAATCTTAACGTTTGGATAAATTAAACAGTGTGGTACAGTGGTACCTTGGGTTACATACACTTCAGGTTACATACGCTTCAGGTTACAGACTCTGCTAACCCAAAACTAGTGCTTCAGGTTAAGAACTTTGCTTCAGGATAAGAACAGAAATCGGGCTCCGGCGGTGCGGCGGCAGCAGGAGGCCCCATTAGCTAAAGTGGTGCTTCAGGTTAAGAACAGTTTCAGGTTAAGAACGGACCTCCGGAACGAATTAAGTACTTAACCTGAGGTACCACTGTATTGCTACACAAGGTGGGAAGAAATGAAAAGAAGTGTACATGTCTGTGCAGAAAAATGTATCCAAGGCAACAAGTGCAGAAGAACATTAGGATGCTAAGTTACAAAAAAACACAAAAACCCATACCATGAATTTAGAGCACTATGATACCACTTTAAACAGCCATAGCTTCCCCCAAAGAATTATGGGAGCTGTAGTTTTTTAAGGGCGCTTAGAGTTGTTAGGAGACCATGATTCTCCTCCCAGAGCAACAGTTCTCAGAATGGTTCAACCAACAATCCCTCTTCCTAGGGAATTCTGTAAACAATAGCTCTCAGCACCCATAACACACTACACCTCCCAGAATTCTTGGGAGGAAGCCATGGCTATTTAAAGTGGTATGGTTCTGCTTTAAATGTATGGTGAGAATGTGAACAAAGTCGGGTCATCAGCCACCTGGTTCAGTATTGTCTACAATAGCAGCAGTTCCAGAGTTTCAGACAAGAGCCTTTTCCAGGCCTACTTGGAGATTCCAGGGGTTACACCTGGGATCTATTTTATGCAAAGCATGTGCTCTACCACTGAGCTACAGTCCTGCATAAAGGCAAGAAAGGGGGAAAGGGTATCATTTTCTTGATGTTGTTTCTGTCCAGCATCAGGCTTCCCATCTAATGATTTCTCTGTTGGTTATCCCCTCAGCTTGCAGGACAAAACCAGGTGCGTCTTTTTCAAAGCGCTCGTTTTCAATAGGCCTATAATAAGCTCCACTGAAGCTTTGCTTGTCTCAGGAAGAAACCCTGCCATCAGGCTTTTCAAATTTCATTTGGCCCTTTGCTGCAGAGAGTTTATAACCATAGTGGACCTCATTACACCGGCATGGGATAAATTGCTGTTTGCTTCCATTTTACAGCTGTGGAGTGAGCAGTGTCTCCTAAGCTTACTTAGTCAGAGGTAAGCCCTACTGATTTTACTAGACTTCCTCTCTAATAAGCATGCTTAGAAAAACCTTCAGAAGAATCCTTCGTTTCAAGCTCTTAACACACAAAGCTGCAGTTATTACTTCAATGTTTGAAGTATAATCAGCTGCCATTAAATCATCCCTCACCATTGATCTCTAACCAATAATCCAACAGTGGGCATGAAGTTGGAGAGCCTACTGATTCTTGTCTATTGATGTAGAGTGGTTTGGGACCAGACTGGAAGACACACCACCCCTGGCCCATTCCCTCATGTGTGAAGAAGCGTATGTGTAAAGCTGGCCTACTCCACTGGCCTCGGACATGCACACAGGAATGGACCATTCAAATGTTGCACATCACCTACACTTCAATGTGCCTTGGCCAAAAATGAGTGGTTGAGGTAGCATTTTAATGTTTAACATAAACATAACATTTAATGTGGTTTTCACCTATGCACCTTGAACTGTACACACTGTGGTGATGTAGTGCTGGCTTGCGGGAGTATGAGGGCTTCTTCAGTTGAAGAGATGTAGTGATTTAGTGTGGAGTTCCTTTTTTAAAAATATTTTATTAAGGATTTTCTTGTTTTACAGAAGTGTAGTGCCTCGTATTTTTTCCCCCATGTAACATATTTACAAATCCGTTTCATTTGTTGAGGCATTAGGGGGAGAAGAAAAAAAAAGAAAAAAGAAAGGGGGGTGGAGAGAGGGAAGATGGATGGGGGTGGGGTCGGGTGGCGGTGTTTCTATTATGTTTAATGTATGTAGAGTTTGGTGTCAGCGTTGCTTGTGTTGTTCACTTGTGTTCCTTTGGTGGTGAGAGAGGTTGGGGTTGGCCTAGGGTGTGATTGTTTGCTTGTGATTGGCTGTGGTGATCTTTATTTTCGTGTGTGAATGAGGTGGGTGGGTGTTTTGGATCAGGTTAGCCATATTGATTTGTATGCTGTTGGTGGATTATTGTCATTGTCCTGTTGGGCTGTGTATGTGATAAAGGGGAGCCATACCAGGGTGAAGGCGTCTTCTTCTGTTTGTCCCCGTGTCAGTTTCAGTTTATTAGTTAATTTTCTAGTAGGGCTGTTTCCCATACTATTTGGTACCATTGGTCCATGCTTACTCCTGACAGGTCTCTCCGGTGTCTGGTTATGGTGTTTCTGGCTGCTGAGAGCAGGTGGGTTATGAGTTCTTTGTGGTGTAAATGGACATTGTTGTCTTGGAAGATGTTTAGTAGGGCCAATTCTGGGGTGATGTCTATTACTTGCTTAGTTATTTTACATATTTCTTGTATGGCTGTTGTCCAGAATGTGTGGAGTTTCTTTTAAGTCTTCTTTGAAGACAGCTGAGAGTAACAGGAAGCTCAAGGGAGCTGGGTATATAAAAAAGATGGGTTGTAACAATGGGGAACCACTAGGCCTAGGCCTAGTTATTAAGTTTGCTATGATTGTTACTTCTTGGTTTAGAGTTAATTATTTGTGATTTTCTTGGACATAGCATATACACAGGAACCATTTGGACATTCCGTACCCACATGTGCAGAAAGGACAACCAGAGGCTAGGCTGGTGGACTTGGTGGGGAGGAGTAAGGCCCTTTCACTCCCCTACACTCAGTGGATTGGACTGGAGTCCAATCCAGTCCATTGTGATCTCATTCTAAAAAAATCAGACAATGAGTAAAGGCCTATGAAGAAATATGCATCTTGCAGAATTAATAATCATACATGGGAAAACAGAAACACCCAGTCTTTGTTGCTGAACTCAGTGCAGTGGCAAATCATTTGTGTTTATTTATGCATAAAACTGGAAGGAGGTTTTTCAACCTTCAAATCTTTCCTTGTCATTTTATGCCCCTGCTGTTAAATTTTTTGCTATGTTAATGTCATCCTGGGCTGGTAATATTTATTGCACCTAAATCAATGTTGGGACACCCAGAATACAGAGGGATCAAATCTACTTATTTCAAATACAGTTTTATGATGGTTGAAGCTGACTTTATGAAAGTTGATAAATTTCATCTTGTAGGTTTCAATTTCTCATTCCCAACAGAGATATGGGGAGAATACATTGATACCGCATTTCAAATTGGCTAGATCAGAAGGAACAGCAGCTAAAATCCATTACAACCCAATTACATCCATCAGCTGAAGCTGTGTGCATTCACTCGTGAACATCAGCATTTAATCCATAAAGAGGAACTAATGAGAAATTTGAAAATGGAATCCACGCATCAGTAACTTTGGAGAGATTTTGCTGGGATTAATGAACTGCCAGAACATCGTCAACACACTGAAAAAACTATTCTCTCTAGGTTTGTTTACTGACCAAAACTTAAGAAAGGATTTTGTTTCTTTTTCCCTGCTCAACACATTTATACCTTGACATTTTTCTTTTTCTTTCCCTCCTCCTTAGTTTTTCTCCTTCCTTCCTTCCTTCCTTCCTTCCTTCCTTCCTTCCTTCCTTCCCTCTCCCCCTCTCTTTTCTTCCTCTCTTCCTCCCCATTTTACAAAATCCTGGTTATCAGCAAGCAAGCAAGAAAAAGATAAAATGAGGCTCCAATTCAGAAGCAGATATTTGTCTTCTGATAACACTCTCCCACCGCACAAATAAACCTGTGGATACCTGCATGACTATCCCATGTTGCTCCTTCAGCTTACAGCCATTTACTAGCAGGTGGTTAGCGTGTCTACCTGTAATGTTACAGTCTGCTGGCGGGTGGGTGGGCAGCTAGAATAAAAGTGACTGAAGCAAAGTGTGGAACAGATATGCAGAGGTTTGAGCCAAATGCTTGCTGCATTCTCTGGTCAGCCCTAATAATGTAAAGTCAGATATAGGGGGCGGGGGAAAGCTGGCAAGATTTCATTCATGAATTTATAATGAATTGTCTTTGGAAGATGATGGATAATTCAGTGGGTCATCTAGGACACTGCTGGCTCTAAAAATCAGCACTGCTGATGGCTTGGGTTTCCATCACTAGAATCTGTATCATGTTTAAGTGGTGTATTTAAGGCAGTGTTGAATTTTTGTGGGACGTGTTCAGCTCAAAATTTGTGCTGAAAGAGTAAAATTTTTGGTTCAAGCTGTAATCAAAATTAATGGAAAACCCTTAAGAGTTGCAGTTGCTTCTGCCTGCATCTTTTGCCATGATTTCCTCTGTGCTCATCCCCCTGTTGTATTTTATGCTGGCTCCCCTTAACTACTATTTTGAGTGGCCAGAGGAGGTTGCACTTTAGATAAATTTTTGGAAGAGCCTGGGGTGGGATTTTTGGATGTAATAATGACCCCTCCTCAACTTCCGCCTGTAATTTGAGCATTAAACACCTGTGCATTAAAAACAAGCAGATACATTACAACCAGATGTTGTAAGGCAGGTTTGTTGAACTATGGACAGATCCACAACCTACAAAGAATCCTGGGAACTTTAATTCATTATGTGTGCTGAGAAATGTAGCTTTCTTTTGGAGGGGGCAGACTACAATTCCCATAATTCTTTAGGTGAAGCTACATGATTTAAATGTGTGTTGTATGTACTTTAAAATGTATGGTGTGAGGTTACCCTGCATATTTTATATTATTGGAAGGTACCTTGTGAGAACTGGAACAGGTGTTCTGGTTCTCTCATGTGGATGAAAAATGAGAACACTCGTTTCTGCCAAAGGCTTTAATGCATAAGTCAGTTTGATACATAAGTTACGAGGCATGGATTAAGCAGGTGCATCAGAGGCTAAGAAACATGGCTGAGCATTAGCAAAGACATTGATCCAACACATGGCATGCCCCCTGCACCTTCCTTTTGAAGCTCAGGGTGGGCACAGCTAATTGTGTGGCAAATGGCTGGGTTCCTGAGACTGGGCAATTAAGCGATGTCTCCTTCAGGTGGATTGGCTTTGTGAAGTTTGTTTGTGCCAGTGCTGGCATCACTGTGGGGATGAGACAGAATCAGAGCCAGATCATATCTCCTCTTTGATACCCCCTCCAAAGGCGAAACTGGAGGCCAGCCGCATAGTGTGAGCTCTTGGCATCAGCGGACGAAGGATGGAGTGCAGAGGGTGAAGGATCCCACCGCGGCACACCAGTTTTCATCTCTGACTTCATCAAAGCGACCCTGCACCACACTGGAGACAAGCAGGGTCATGCTGCGCCGCCTGCCCGCCTGTGCAGGGAGGAGCCCACCCAGGCGACATGGCACTTGGTGGGTGAAAACCAGGACCCCCTTGGCAGTGCCCCCAGCATGGCCTGGCCCAGCACTGCTCTCCATGAGTGTTGTTTCCTCTGATGCTGAGACTGGGCTGCGTTGGTTTTTTGACAGCAATCAAATCAAAAACTAAAAATGAATGGCAATGCTTTGATGATTATATGGCAAAATATTGCTCTAGAAAAGACATGCTAATATGCTTAGATTAAGAATGTAAATGCATCAAAACAATAAATTATCAATGACATATGTATGGATATAGAGAAAATAAAAACAATCAGAATGCAATGATAAGGGTAAAATTGATGCTAGAGAAGACGAGTAGCGGTGGAGGGAAGCGAAACAGGGTGGTGGGTTTATTTTATTTTATGTTTTTTCTTTTTCTTTTTTGGATATTGTATAATGATTTGATGTATAATGATTTAATGTTTCTTTTCTGTTATGTATTATTTCTCTTTTTTAAAAATTAAATTGTATGGTGGAAAAATCTAAATAAAAAGACAAAAAGACAAAAAAACCTGGGCTGCGTTGGGGGCATCTGCCGGGGGTGCCTGCTTCATGGCCCAAGGCCATGGCCCCACTGACACCCCCTGTGCTACCCTGCTGCTGGAGACAACTCTGTGACAGGAGGCTTTAGGCTTGGAACAGCCAACGTCTTAGGGATAGAACACTTTTCTGACTGCCACCTCCCTGGGAACTGGCTTGATGTCCTTTATGCCAGCCTCAAACCAGTTGGGGATTTGTTGCTCTCTTTTGCCAAAAGAAGGGTCGCGGGTGGCGCTGTGGGTTAAACCACAGAGCCTAGGACTTGCCGATCAGAAGGTCGGCGGTTCAAGTCCCCATGACGGGGTAAGTTCCCCTTGCTTGGTCCCTGCTCCTGCCAACCCAGCAGTTCAAAAGCACGTCAGTGTGCAAGTAGATAATAAATAGGTACCTCTCCAGCGGGAAGGTAAATGGCGTTTCCGTGCACTGCTCTGGTTCGCCAGAAGTGGCTTAGTCATGCTGGCCACATGACCCGGAAGCTGTACGCCGGCTCCCTTGGCCAATAAAGTGAGATGAGTGCCGCAACCCCAGAGTCGGTCACGCCTAGACCTAACGGTCAGGGGTCCCTTTACCTTTGCCAAAAGAGGACATAGCTGTGTTGCAGGTTGCCTCTGTGATGTAGTTTCACCTTGCTTCAACACTGTTTCTGGGGCAGTTCAGTAGTGCTTGTCTGATAGAATCAGAGAAGTGTTCATAAAGTTCATAAAGTCATTTGAGGGATCCATGGATCTCAAACCTAAGAAGAGCCCTGCTAGATCCTGTTTCCCATAGCAGACAACCAGGTGTCCTTCAAAGAGCCCAGAACCAGAACAGCCCTCTTTCATTGTCCCCTTCCTCTGCGGCTGGTGGTAGTATACAGCCATCACATCTAGTAGCCACTGACAGATATATATCCTTCAGGAATTTGTCACATCTCCTTTTGATTCTATGTATGTTGGCAGCAACAAACGCCATAGTTTAACTGGGAAGTACTTGCTTTTGCCTATCCTGAAGCTCTAGTTATTCCTGACTGAAATGGTTGTAATGTTTTCTCCCAACACTGAACATCAATCTTCTTGTTTCCATTCAAAAGACTGCAGAGAATATAATCTCACCTGGAGTACTGTGTCCAGTTTTGGGCACCACAGTTCAAGAAGGACACTGACAAACTGGAACGTGTCCAGAGGAGGGCAACCAAAATGGTCAAAGGCCTGGAAACGATGCCTTATGAGGAACGGCTAAGGGAGCTGGGCATGTTTAGCCTGGAGAAGAGGAGGTTAAGGGGTGATATGATAGCCATGTTCAAATATATAAAAGGATGTCACATAGAGGAGGGAGAAAGGTTGTTTTCTGCTGCTCCAGAGAAGCAGGCACGGAGCAATGGATCTAAACTACAAGAAAGAAGATTCCACATAAACATTAGGAGGAACTTCCTGACAGTAAGAGCTGTTCGACAGTGGAATTTGCTGCCAAGGAGTGTGGTGGAGTCTCCTTCTTTGGAGGTCTTTAAGCAGAGGCTTGACAACCATATGTCAGGAGTGCTCTGATGGTGTTTCCTGCTTGGCAGGGGGTTGGACTCAATGGCCCTTGTGGTCTCTTCCAACTCTATGATTCTAATCTTATTGGTGCATTATTGGACTATGTTTCTGCTCTTCTATGCTCACTTCATTGGCTGTCTGTTAACTCTAGAATACGTCATAAGTTTCTTGTCTTCACATTTCAAGCTCTTCATGGTCAAGGTCCTTCCTCTCCCACAGCCTTGGCATCCCCCTATAGGCCTAGTCATTCTCTTTGTTCTTCTAATTCCATGCTTATTACCCAATTCAAGGTTTGTTTGTTGTTCTTTATCACATCTTTATCCTTTTTCTCTTGCTGCTCTGTATGGTTGGAATCACCCTGGGATACATTTGCTGTCTGTCCCCTCACTTCATATGTTTAATTTTTTTGGAAAACTTACTTTTTTTCAAAGGCCTCTGGGTCTGGTTAGCTAGTTTTATTATCCCAAATGTAATGGCGTTTTTAACTGTTGATTTTTACTGTATTGTTTATATTTGCTGTTTTAGACTGTAGACTCTTCAGAGTAGAACTTCTTATTTCAGTTGTGTACAGAACCATGTACATTAATGGCACTATGGCAATAAATGGTAGTAATTCAGCTTCATGCAAATTCTCTGCAAAAATAATAATGCACATTTCTCTCTATGCGTGTGTCTGTCTCTCTCTCACACACATACCACATATAGATTTTTCCCTTACATCAATGCTTATGATTCTCAGTGCTCACAACCCCCCCGCCCAGGCTTTGCAAGCACCAGAAAATCCAGATCATTTTTTGAGGCAAACACAGATGTGTTTGGCCATCCCTCACTGAATTTATATTGCCCAGCCCCTCCCATCCCACCCCAAAAATGAGAGCCAACACTTGGTGCAAGCCTGTCTGTATCAGTTCTATACAATGCATATGAGCTTAACATGCCTTTGTCTAGCTGTTGCACAATATAGCGTAACATATGTTGATCTCCCTGACTCACAGTTGAGCATTCCTGCGTGGGTCTGCTGAACCCCTAAACTAATTTGCAATCTGAGCTCACTTGAGCTGATTTAATATCATGATTTAATATAATCTCTGATGCAGGTATGGCACATCAACTAGGCTGGAAGGTGGGGGGGAGGGAGCCCCTTTTCTTAACAGCAGCATAATGATATTTCTTTGCAAGAATAACTCACCTATGTATTCAAGCAGCACAGCAAGTATTCTACATGCAGACATAACTGACAGGTAACTCCTCCAAGATCCCCTTTGCCCTTGCCTCTCTTTCAACAGGACTGACAGTTGCAGGCAGAGAAGAGAGGGTTGTCTGTGGGCAGGGGAAAACCTACAAGCTAGAGATGAAGTAGCAAAACTTAATGGACACAAAGACATCTTGAAAAAGGGAAGGGGGCAGGGGAGAAAGCTAAAGCAATGCAAAGCTTGAGATTTACTGTACACAAAAGTTTTCCGCAGAAGTGTTTTGTCCAACATAGTAAAAATGAAGGCGAGAGAGGAAAAGTGATAGGATGCAGAGTGCACACAAACATCAAAATAAAATTGAATAAATTATAACACATACAAAATGACAATACTTTCACCTCCTCTCTGCCCCACCCCTCGCAGCCCCTAAATCTATTTCAGGGTCTCCAACCCTCTGGAGCAGACTGGGGGATGGTGCCAGGCAAACATGGGGAGGGGAGAGGGGTTGGGATCCTTGCACTGATGGAACAAGTTGGTTGAATACTGCCCTAATTCAGTAGGACAGTAGGATAGAATAGTAAACTGAAAAGGGGTTGAATTTAGGGTGGGAAGACCCTGTTCAGCTATGAAGTTCATGGGTAGCCTTAGGCCAGTCACTAAGCCTAGTCTATCTCACAGGTTCATTATTTCATAAGAAGGAAGAGTGCCCCTTACACCCATGCATATGGTGAGGTAACCATGCAGGTGATTTCATTTTGTTTGCTCTGAAATAAGTAAGTACAGTACTCCCCTTGTCTCCCTCCATTGCATTATGGGAGCAAATGGTATTTCAGGTCCTAATCCATATCGGCCTTAGGTTTCGGGCTTAGTCCTCATTCCATGTTGAAACTAAGCCTAAGGGGCTGTGCCAAAGGCTGAATGAAAAAGGTATTTGAAAGATAAGAGAGAGGGAGACAGTATCACTAAATAGTTATTGGAGGCATTTCCAGGCATAAAATGCTAGCACATGTTTGGCTATGCTATCATTAGGACAGTTTTTAGGGATTCCAAATCTAGAATTAAATTTGAATTTTAAAGTGGGTATTATGATTTCTAGGGGCTGGACTGTGCAGCAATATTCAAACATTTGTAAGAAAATTCAAACTAAAAAAACCTGGGTTTCTGCCTGAAGAGTAGCTTCCTGGAGGGCACATCTGATCTCTTTAATTAAAAGCAAACAGAGCTCAGAACAGCACAGGTTTTGAATTCAAGCATCTCATGTAGTTATATTCATTTTTATTACATAGGTTTATAAACATTGTTTACTGCATCACACCTCCCAAAAACATAAGGAGGGTGGTGACTATTGAGTCTTCTTGGGTGTCTTGGCAATATGCCTTCTCTGTAATGGCCCCCTGTGACCAGCTCCCCTCCCCATGGTCACCCAGAACAAAGAGAGACCAGGCAAAGGAACCGTAGGCTGCTGGCGAAGGAAATGGGGGAGGAGCCTTAGAGAGTGCCAATAAGGTTGAGAGACAAAAAAATCCTTTCCGGACCTGTCACCAGAGACTCAAGATCACTTAGTGAAGGATCTAAACCAAGGGTAAGTGGACAGAAAGCTCTCAAGGCAAAATGGTCATGAGTTCCAGACGAAGCAGCCTTACATAGCCTTTCTCCTCCCCTTTGCAAAGGCTCATGAGAAAATCGCACCAACCAGATACTGGACAAAACCTTGCCCAGTATTTTGTTGCAATCTAAGGGCCAGAGTGCTGGTGGGCAAAGGTGTCTTGCACTTAGAAGAAGAAGAGTTTGGACTTGACATCCCACTGTATCACTACCCTAAGGAGTCTCAAAGTGGCTAACATTCTCCTTCCCCTTCCTCCCCCACAACAAACACTCTTTGAGGTGAGTGGGGCTGAGAGACTAGCCCAAGGTCACCCAGCAGCTGCATATGGAGGAGCAGAGACGCGAACCCAGCTCACCAGATTACAAGACTACCGCTCTTAACCACTACACCACACTGGCTCCCACTGGGCACAGAACTAGGCTTCTCAGCAGGCTTGTATAGAGTGGCACTGTAAGATGCAATATATGAAAAGGGGGAAAAGTCGCAAAATTCTGTGATGCCTCTCTTCTCCTTCCCACCCCCCTCCGGAAAAAAACCTCAAGCTGAACAAAAGATATTGGATAAAGCAAGAAGAACATCATTATAAAGAGGGATAAACATTTCCACAGCTGCTTGAGAGAATTACATGAGGCCATTTCCTAGAGTCCCTGTGGGTATAAGCGGAAATATTTTCCTTTTTTTCTTTCTTTCATTTCTTTCTCTTCTTTTTCTGTTTAACAAAATAACAGCTAGAAAAAACAATCCCAAACAATTACTATTATGTTCCTTTCAACACAGTCAGCCACTTTGCTATCATGGGGT